TGACTACACAAATCATTTCCAGTCCAGCCCCCTAATGAGGTCCTGCCCTCACATCACTGCAACAAACTCTTCTATAAATGATATAGCGAAAGCATTGTCTGCATGTTATTCCTATACAACCCCCCCCCCCCCCCCCCTCCATATAGATATCCTATAGGACTGACACTGCTCCTGGGACGAACGCACGCATGCCACACTTTATAGTGTTCCCATTTACTCCTCTTCCAGCAGCCACATAGATATGTAGTGAGAAGAGGAGGAGCTGGGCCAGCACAGCAGTCATTAGCCATTCCCAGATAAGAGGGTTATCAAAGAATGAAATGCTGCACACAAAGGATAGCCAAATGATTTGGCTGTCAGTCTGCGGCAGGAGTCTCCAAAGTATGGTCTGTGAACCACATCTGGCCCACTATGATGCTTTTACCAGCCCACAGCTGGACTCACTGTAGCTCCTCCTCTTCTCACTACATATCTTACTATGTGGCTGCTGGAAGAGGGGCGAAGGGGAACACTTTAGAGTGTGACGTATGTCTGCTGACATCACATCCAAGTTGGTGGCGCCCAGGAGCAGTGTCAGGTTGCAGAACCTGTGATGCATACTTGCCTCCATCCCGGTAGTATGCAGCGTAGGTCCCGCAACAACTGCAGGCGCCTCCATGTGCTGCTTGCTAGGATTGCTGGCGTCAACCAGTGACATGTTTCAGTGCAGTTTCCACCCTACTGTTGACATCAATGTTCCTTAGCCCCGGTTCACATATATGCGGTTGTACGAGCCACGTTTTGCGCAGGCATGAGAGCCCATTCATTTGAATGGACTCCCGTGCCCATGACACGCAGGGAAGAAGTCCCTGCACTTCTTTGGAAAACACAGCTTGCACGGGACCTTGGTTCCCAGTTTGGTTGCGATTTCCAGTGTGGGCGGCGTACCATTAGAACTAATGGCACCCGACCGTGGGTCCGTATTCTTCTGTGTGGGTGGTGCGGCTGCATGGATTTTTGTGCGGATCCGCAGCGGCACCACCCACACATATGGGAACCTAGCCTTAGGGCCGGTTCACACTATAGAAACAGTCCAGTTGAGTTTCTGCATGTCTGTTTTTGGCGCATTCTGGTGCATCCAAAACGTACAGAAAGTAGGTTATATGGTTGTCAATGTCATAGTTCACATCAGTATTGGCAGTTCCAGTGCATTTCAGTTGCAGAAAAAAAAAAAAAAGTAGAACATGCTGCATTGTTTCTGCATAGAACTGTACTGGAACGTGGTAAAACGCATAATTAACGCTCTAAAAGGCAAATGTCCCTATTTAACTTGAAGAAAAAGAGACGGGGAAAAATAAACTTGAATGCATAAAACGGACAGGAACTTGTCACAAATGCATTGAAATGCGTCAAAAACGCACATGTGAAAACGCACCCGGAACACATCTGGACTGCATTTCTATGGTGTGAACTGGTCCTTAAGGCACACTGTACAGAGGTAAAGTACTAGTGTATGGGGAGAAAACAAAAATGTGCGGGGTGGGGATGGATCGGCTCCGAGGAAGGGGGGGGGGGGGGGTTGATGGCTGTGATGAGGACACAGTTGTGGGGGGGGCCCTCTGATGGGGACACAAATGTATGTGTATGGGGGTCACTGGTGACACAAAAGTGGGGGGGGGGGGGACACAAATGTGTGTGTGGGGGGGGGTGTTGCTGTGATGGGGACACGTGTGTGTGTGTGTGTGTGTGTGTGTGTGTGTGTGTGTGGGAGGGGGGGCTCTTTGAGGGGGGGCACAGATGTGTGCGGGGGGGGGTTGCTCTGATGGGGACACGTGTGTGTGTGTGTGTGACAGGGGGCTCTGATGGGGGCACAAATGTGTGCGGGGGGGGTGTTGCTCTGATGGGGACACGTGTGTGTGTGTGTGAGAGGGGCTCTGATGGGGGCACAAATGTGTGTGGGGGGGTGTTGCTCTGATGGGGACACATGTGTGTGTGAGAGGGGGGCTCTGATGGGGACACAAATGTGTGCGGGGGGGTGTTGCTCTGATGGGGACACAAATGTGTGCGGGGGGTGTTGCTCTGATGGGGACACGTGTGTGAGAGGGGGCTCTGATGGGGGCACAAATGTGTGCGGGGGGTGTTTGCTCTGATGGGGACACGTGTGTGAGAGGGGGCTCTGATGGGGGCACAAATGTGTGCGGGGGGTGTTGCTCTGATGGGGACACGTGTGTGTGAGAGGGGGCTCTGATGGGGACACAAATGTGTGCGGGGGGGTGTTGCTCTGATGTGTGTGTGTGTGAGAGGGGGCTCTGATGGAGACACAAATGTGTGCGGGGGGTGTTGCTCTGATGTGGGGACACGTGTGTGTGTGTGAGGGGTGTGTGTGGTGTGTGTGACACAAATGTGTGTGGGGGTGTGTGTGTGTGGGTGGTGTGTGTGTGTGTGAGTGGGAGCTTTGATGGGGACACAGTTGTAAGTCCTTAATGCCTGGTACACACTATGAAAATATCGGACAAATGGTTGTCCACTTTTTTTTTTTATTTTTCTTGATTCTAGTCTCATATGAAAATTAATAGGTTACTAGAGTTACAAAAATTCTCATTAGACAGAATACAACTTCCCATGATGACATAATGTGTATCCTTTTGTTTCTGAACATGCACGGCCTTAGTCACTCATTTTTTTTTAATTTATGGATGAGTACTATACTGATTAAATGAAAATCGTTTGTTCTGCTATCTTACAAGAAAAATGTTCATGCTTTTCCTTTTGGATGAACTGTTGTGAGTGGCTCTCAAGAGCTGTGTACTAATGATCAGATTATCAATCGCTCCAAAACCTTTTTTTTTTTTGTCTGATATTCTGATTGTGTGTACTAGGTGTAATGCACACTGGGAGTTTAACCTGCTACATGAAGCTACAGCTTTTAATGCGGATGGAGGATACAGGTGCACCATCCAGCCCTACTGCCAGCAGCCTGGTAAATTTTGTTCTATACCGCTGCTTCAGATTTATTTAAATGCTTTTTCCGCCTTGTGGGATATGTGTAAAATATACAGTGTGGCCCTCGAAGTGAAAAATTTGGAGACCCCTGTTCTAAAGTAAGCCTGGATGAGCGTTTTGAATTCTGGCACCCACCAGTAGTGTGAATCATTGGATTGTTTGTTTTTCATTGGTGCTTCACAAGATTTAGTTATGGAGAGGGCTATGAAATGCAAGGAAAGAGGGAGCTGCACTAGTCATCTGACCCTTCGTGAGGAGACCTCACATTTTCTGTCAAGTTCAAAGGTGCTCTGTATCGAATAAAAAAATGTTTATTGAAACAAGTAAGCTTGTAAAATACTTGATTTTTCTGCTCTTTTATTTACTATTTTAAGTTCGTGGTGGGGTCTCTTTTTAAAGTGGTACCAAACCCTGTTTTGAAAAGAAAATTCTGTTCAAGTATGCATTCTTATAGCAGTATTACCCCAAATCAAACATTTATTATATTGCAGCCTACTAGTTCTTAGATGCGATAGCTGAATTCATTTCCTTTTCTTAGTCTTCTTTCTATTTTCATCTGGTGATCCACCTAGTAAGTCTGTTGTTTTTTTTAACCTCCCTGGCGGTATTCCTGAGTGTAGCTCGGGGTAAAGTTTCAGCACCACAAGCGGTAACCCCGAGCTACATTCGGGCATACCCTGCAGCGTTGCTCCAGGATCCCTTCTGCACTTACCTTGTCCAGCGCTCCCGCGATGTCCCCCCTGCAGCATCCCCGGCAATGTCCTCTGGCCGATGCCGGCATCTGTCTTTTGGGTTCTTTTCCCTGCGACGTCAGGACGTACAGGGGACGGAACTGGTGGGAAATTTAAAAATATCAAAAAGTGATATTCACTAAATACACTAAAATCACATAGTAAAACATTACTGTATCAAACCATTTCACATACATTTGTCCCTACTGCTTTGTCCTGTGCCCTGCCTGCATTTTTACTGTTCTTTCTGCCTGGAAACTGAGAAATGTCCATGGCGTCCAAAAAGTGTCCCTTTAGGTCAAAAGCGGTTTTAGACCAGCTAGAGAACAGCGATAGTAAATCAGAACCACTTGCAGAATTGAGTGATAATGATTTGTGGGGAAATTCATCATCAGACACTGAAAACGATTTTGCGACTAAGCTCAATGATGTGCGAACTTGGCGCTATATTTCAAATTTCAGTGTTTTTGGTTTGATTATATTATTGAATTAAAGTTATTATTATTATATTATTTTTTATGATTATTTATTAAATTATAATTTATGATTTCGTGTTTCAAATTTTATCATACCCGGGATGTTTACTAGACTCTTGTTCGGACAGATTTCAGTGAGTTATTCCTAAGAATTAGAGGTCTACAATAAAAAACAACATATTTCCATGCAAAAAAAATGTACCACTTTGAGCACAGAAATACTGACATAATCAGACCACTAGGGAGGTTAACAAAAAAAGCTCTGTTGCAATTATTTGGATGAGATGGACCATTCAACACTGACAGAGGTGTGTATAATGATTTTTTTTTTATTTATGTAAATCATTTATCCCAAAAGGAAAAAAAAAATGTTTGCTGTATCTGATTATAAAGTGTGCGCTGGATTTTGCGCCCCCCCCCCCTCCCCCCCGACTGACAATGCTGCTATCCAAATGTGCCCCCTGTGCTCATTCATCCAGAGTGGGGGCACTCTAATACAGGAGGTGTGTTAGTGGCTAGATCACCAGCGGAAATTAGAGGGAAAGAAACCTGATACAATCACCACATCTAATGATTGGTAAGCTGCAATATATTACATTTTTGCTTTTGGGTTTAACAATGCTTTATTTTTTATTGCTTTTTCTTTATGCGTTATAACTTTTTACACACACACACACACACCCCCATCAATTTAAGCACTTCAGTCCTTCTGTGATCACACATGATGGCATATCATATTTTAATTTCTGCATATTTTGTTTTTTAGGGTGCATTCTTCATGGTTTGCACAAGAATCGAGTAATCCACCTCAATGGATGCGGACAGCGATGTGGCATTAGATATTTTAATCACAAATGTTGTATGTGTGTTTCGAACCAGATGTCATTTAAACTTGCGAAAGATTGCACTGGAAGGGATAAATGTAATATACAAGCGTGAAGTTGGCGTGAGTAACTTTCTTCTATCCCAGTTTCTCATAGCTAGATGTTATTGAAACCTTAAAGTGATCGTAAACCTCCTGAAATGAAAATTGAACAAAGCATATCCCTCTATAATGTGTACTATCCACAATCCAAAAACATCTAGTGTGGCTCTTATCCGTTTTCTCCTTCCTCTGCTTTCTGTACAAGTCACTTCTGACAGGTTATGCTGACGCCACAAAATCTTGGTAGATGGAGTTTTATTTACCTGACCCTCTCCTTCAGTAGGCTTCTGGTGCTATAGGGCCTGCCCCCCTCCCCCAGTCTCTTCCCCCCTATGATCAGGTGGATTATATTATACCGTGTGTCTTTTCAAATGGTCATATGGTGGTAAATGTTAATGGATATCTTCCCTTTTTTTTTTTTTTTTTTTTTAACCACATCAATACCAGGCACTTTAACTACCTTCCTACCCATGCCAATGTTCAGCTTTCAGCGCTGTCGCACTTTGAGTGACAATTGTGCAGTCATGCACTGCTAAACCCAAGTACATTTTTAGCATTTTTCACACTAATAGAGCTTTCTTTTAGTGGTATTTAATCACGACTGGGTTTTTAATTTTTTTTGCTCAATAAACGAAAAAAGACCAAAAATTGTGGAAAGAAATGTGTTTTTCTTTGTTTCTATTAAATTTTGCAAATAAATTGTTCTTCATAAATGTAGGCCAAAAATGTATTCTGCTACACTTCTTTGTTGAAATTAAGCTAAATCAGTGTTTAATATTTAGTCTGTAGGAAAATTATAGAGTCCACAAACTATGATATCCCCTTTTTGGAAAGTAGACAGTCCAAGGTATTAAGAGGATTATTGAGTTTTTTGACGTTGTAATTTTTTTGAAAATTAAGAAATTGAAGAAAAAATGACATATATTTTTAATACTTTCACCAGTGCAGTACAGCGTCATCACATAACTAGTGTGGCGGTGATCAGGGACACTGACTTGTGACGAAAAAAAAAAAAAACCTTTTTGATACTTATTTTCAGTTTTTGTTTTTTTAATTCACTGTGACCAGAACAATATAATGTTACCAGAGTAACATTGTGCTACTCTGGGTGAGTGATCAGGATTTCCTCTTTTTTTTTTTTTTCTTTATTTTACATATTATGATCGCTTATAGCAGTGAATTTCATTGCTATAAGCAAGCATATTACTGAATGAACCACTTGCTAACCGCACTATAGCCAAATGATGGCTAAAGCACGGCTGTTCACTTCTGGGAGGGCATCATATTACGTCCTCCCAGAACACGCCCTCCCGTGCGCCCCTAGTGATCTCCTTGATTAGCTGTGTCCAATCATGGAGTAAATACAGTTGCCAGTTATTGGCAGCACTTTCCTCACGCTGTCACAGCATGAGAAAAGTACTACCGATAACCAGCAGCTGTTACAGAGCAGAGCGGCACTGGTGATCAGTGCGCTGCAGTGCTGCCTATCAGTGACCATCATTGCTGCATATCAGTGCTGCCTATCTGTGCCACCTCATCTGTGCTGCTTATCAGTGCCCATCAATGCAGCCTCATCAACACACATCAGTGAAGGAGAAAAATTACCTGTTTGCAAAATAATATAATAGAAAATAAGAAAACCTTTTTTTTTTCTTTGTTTATAGTGCAAAAAATAAAACACCCAGTGGTGATTAAATACCACCAAAAGAAAGCTCTATTTGTGTGAAAAAAATGATTAAAATTCTATATGGGTACAGTGTTGCATGACTGCGCAATTGTCATTCAAAGTGCGACAGTGCTGAAAATTTGCCTGGGCATAAAGGGGGTAAAAGTGCCCGGTAGCCAAACTGTTAAATCGATTAATTCAGTTTGTTTTGGTGTGATTAGTTGCGATTGGTCACAGCTAATCACATGGTACTGATGGGCTGTGATTGGCCCTGTCTGTACCATGTGACCACTGTGACTAGTCACAGCTAACAACACATTTGCAACAATGAATGGCATGAATCGAAGACATTTATTGTTTACAATTGTCATGTGATCTGCTGTTATTGGTCACAGTGATCACATGGTACCGGCAGCGGGCCAATACACTGATCAGTCATAGGCTGTGTCTGGTGGACACAGCCGGTGACAGATCGCAGTTCAGCCTGTTCCGGGATGATGTCCTATGACATCTACCTGGAATGATGAAATTCCCGCTCGGCCATCAAATTTTTGCCTATTCCTGACGATAGCACGATACCACATATGTGTTTTATTTCTTCTTTGTACCCTTAGTAGGGCAAAAACACCCTATACATATTTTTATCCCCCTTAGTTAAACACATTGACAGCAACTGGCACTCACTAAACTACATCAAGCCCTTATATAGTTAAACGTTTCTTTATTTAATTCATTCACTCATTCATTTTTTTACAGACTTCTACTCTGGAGGAGGAAATGATACGGTGGAGAAAGAACACTAAGGCGGGCCTTCAAAGTACTTTTCACTGTGATTGGCTAGTTAGTGATTAATGAATGGCTGCCAGTTATCCCAGCTCCAAATTATGAACGAGAACCAGGGCTGTCAGTAACAGCCATACATTGTACAACTTTCTTGTACAATTTTCCTTTAGATTTACCCACACCATATTTATGAGGTCCAACCTAAACACTTTCAATTTGTATGCAATCAAGCAGCCCCTTGCACTACATAGTTAAAGGTAAATCTAAAGGAAATTGAATAAGAAAATTGTATATTGTATGGCCAGCTTATGTTCTGGGAGCATGGGATTGAGTGTGCTTCCAGCACAAACACAGGAATGCATATATGTGGCTCCCAGGAATAAGTCCCACTATGTGGACACCTTATATATGTTATGTAGCTGTAAACTGTTTAAGGCTGCCAGGCATCTAAGGAATATAGGATTCCAAAACATGCAAGTATTGTAATTTTTTGACTGCTTCAACTAAATGTGTTTTTGTTGCTTCTTATCGTAGAAGGTGTTGATGAAACTGAGAAAGCCGAGAATAACTGCTACAATCTGGTCATCCGGAAAAATTATTTGTACAGGAGCTACAAGGTAAAATATTTTCTTCAAATTTCATGAAAGTCATCAGGACAGGTCTTGCAAGATAGTTGAATAAAACTGTATGCTACAGTATCTCACAGAAGTGAGTACACCCCTCACATTTTTGTAAATATTTTATTTATCTTCTCACGTGACAACACTGAAGAAATGACACTTTGCTACAATGTAGAGTAGTGAGTGTACAGCTTGTATAACAATGTAAATGTGCTGTCCCCTCAAAATAACAACACACAGTCATTAATGTCTAAACCACTGGCAACAAAAGTGAAAATGTCCAAATTGGGCTCAAAGTGTCAATATTTTTCCACCATTATTTTCCAGCACTGCATTAGCCCTCGTGGGCATTGAGTTCACCAGAGTTTCACAGGTTGCTACTGGAGTCCTCTTCCACTCCTCCATGACAACATCACGGAGATGGTGGATGTTAGAGACCTTGCGCTCCTCCACCTTCCGTTTGAGGATGACCCACAGGCGCTCAATAGAGTTTAAGTCTGGAGACATGCTTGGCCAGTCCATCACATTTACCCTCAGCTTCTTTAGCAAGGCAGTGGTCGTCTTGGAGGTGTGTTTGGGGTCTTTATCATGTTGGAATACTGCCCTGCAGCCCAGTCTCCGAAGGGAGGGGATCATGCTCTGCTTTCAGTATGTCACAGTACATTTTGCAATTTGTGGTTTCCTCAATTAACTGTAGCTCCCCAGTGCCGGCAGCACTCATGCAGCTCCAGACCATGACACTCCCACCACCATGCTTGACTGTAGGCAAGACACACTTGTCTTTGTACTCCTCACTTGTCTGCTTGCCGCGACACACGCTTGACACCATCTGAACCAAATTAGTTTATCTTGGTCTCATCAGACCACAGGACATGGTTCCAGTAATCCATATCCTTAGTCTGCTTGTCTTCAGCAAACTTTTGGCTTTCTTGTGCATCATCTTTAGAAGAGGCTTCCTTCTGGGACAACAGCCATGCAGACCAATTTGATGCAGTGTGCGGTGTATGGTCTGAGCAATGACAGGCTGAACCCCCACCCCTTCAACCTCTGCAGCAATGCTGGCAGCACTCATATGTCTATTTCCCAAAGACAACCTCTGCATATGACACTGTGCACGTGCATTCAACTCCTTTAGTCGACCATTGTGAGGTCTGTTCTGAGTGGAACCTGTCCTGTTAAACCGCTGTATGGTCTTGGCCACTGTGCTGCAGCTCAGTTTCAGGGTCTTGGCAATTTTATAGCCTAGGCCATCTTTATGTACAGCAACAATTCTTTTTTTCAGATCCTCAGAGAGTTCTTTGCCATGAGGTGCCATGTTGAAATTCCAGTGACCAGCATGAGAGAGTGAGAGCGATAACACCAAATTTAATACATCTGATCCCCATTCACACCCGAGGCCTTATAACATTAACGAGTCACATGACACCGGGGAGGGAAAATGGGTAATTGGGCCCAATTTGGACATTTTCACTTAGGGGTGCACTCACTTTTTTTGCCAGCGCTTTAGACATTAATGTCTGTGTGTTTAAGTTATTTTAAGGGGACAGCAAATTTACACTGTTATACAAGCTGTACACTCACTACTTTACATTGTAGCAAAGTGTCATTTTTTTCAGTGCTGTACCTGAAAAGATAGAATAAAATATTTACTAAAATGGGAGGGGTGTACTCACTTCTGTGAGATACTGTATACTATATAAAATCCACACAGGTACGTTTTCAATATTTAAGTAAAAATATTTAGCGAAGTAAAATAATAGAGTAGTTAGTCCGAAAGTAACATTTTCTGTTATGGTGGATAACAACGTGCCAGACTTCCATGGTAACATTTCCCCCTCAGGTGTGACATCAGCTACCCCAATAAAAGCCATGTAAGCTGGTTCCTTTCTTTCTCTCCTACATAAAATAATACAAAAGATATTGAACTGCAAAAATAAGACCTGCTATATAATGGTTATAACAGGTAACTGGACCTGATAATTTTAAGTATAAAATTCTGAGTTCCAGATATAAAAGAAACTTGTCATGAAAGAAATATTGCTGTTGACATCACTGAATTGATTTGAAGCCTGCACCTTGAAGAAACCAAATTTGATAGCACCATATCAATGCATAAAGTATAACTTAAAAATTTTGCACTATAGTATATATGTGACTCCCTAACATAAAAAATCAATAGAACATAAACAGCCACCTACCAAATAGTAAAACATAAAAGTGCGGCTCTACATATAACCAAAACATTTGTGCAAATACATTGAGTAAATGAAAAGATACACATGCGAAGGAGAACGTAGAATAATCCCCTTTAATGGGACATCAATGTTGTCATGAATACTTCAAATCTGGTCAAGAAGATGAAAAAAATCCACCATCACCAACACCCGAAAAAATTCTGCCTCTTATCAGATGAAATTGACCCCCAGTTAAGGTTGGGTCAAAATGCGCAATACAGAATCCAAACGCATGCCATGGACCGGGACACTTAATAACGTCAAAGGAATAAACTGGCCCTCAATGGTAGATGGATAAAAACACCTGCTGGATACTTCCAAAAATTGGCTATGATCCAGACACTGGTAGAGCTCCAAACTTTAACTCAAAAAATAGAATAGAGAAAATAAACCTGCAGAAAAGATTTATCCTCATAGAGGACAACCCCATTCAAAAAACAAGAAAATCCTCATAGTATAGTAAATTAAGAGATTTATTGCACCAAAGCATAATATAAAATGTACATCAAAGTCATTGATAAAACAGCATGTCACCAAAAGGATAAGATTCAAACCCATAAAATGGCTGTCGCGCTACGATACGTGCTGACGTCAGGGGCGTGGCCATCGCCAGGACGTAGTGCCTTTATATAGGGAGGAGGGAGACCATCTCCCCCCCTATTCTAATCAAGGCATGCATCGGAACACAAAGAAGAAACCTCTGACCCAAAGACCGGAAGATACTAAACATATAATGCCAAAAGTACTTAATCGACTGACCAAGTAAAAACGGGTCCTGGGCAACAAAAGTGGAAATTATTTAATTAAAAAACAGGAACCAAATCTTTAATGCCCTAAAAAAACAGCCTAACCAAAAACAAAGCAATACCAATTGTGGTGCCATCTTTTGTACACAAAACATATTACAGCTGTCAATTCAATTTTGCTTCAAAATGTCAAAATAATAATACAAACAATTATAAATAAAATATAAATAACACAGATACATGAACTCAATCAATCCTGGACACTAATATAAAAAAATAAGATAATAAGAAACAGCTTAACTATTATTGATTAACGCGTTGACATCCCATTCGATGTTAAGACCATGAGGTGTATATGATTTAAGGGTATAGATCCACCACACTTTCAGTTTGGAGATCTCTTGCTTAATATGGCTACCCTTCCAATTTATGGAGTATTTATCAATACCAATAAATAACAAACCTTCAGGATTTTTATTATGGTGAAGAGCAAAGTGCTTAGAGACACTATGGTTTGGAAAACCCTTCTTTATATTAGTAATATGCTCTTTCAACCTGGTCTGTAGTGTTTTGACAGTGCGTCCTATATATTGAAACCCCCACGGGCATTGAATCAAATAAATTACATTCTTTGTAGAGCAGGTAATAAAATTCTTGATTTTAAATTATATATTGGTAATGTGGGAGCTCTGACATTAGGAGCTAAAAATAGTCTCAAAGGGGGTGCCCCTTTAAAAAATAACGGGGGCTTCTGGAAGTAAGGAACCCAGGATTTTGTCATTACGTAATACTCCCCAATGTTTTTTTGAAAATATTCTTGATGTCATAATACTGAGTAGAATATGTAGTGATAAAGGCAGTTTTGAAAGATTTGTTAGTGTTTCTCTTCAAACCTGGAGCTAATAATTCTGATCTGTCTTTAGCATCTACTTCCCTAAGTGCTTTATCCAATGTATAGGTATCATAACCCTTTTCAAGAAATTGCAATTTTAATCGATCTGCTACCAGTTGGAAATCAGTAGTATTAGTACAGTTTCCTTTGAGCCTAAGAAACTGGCTCTTAGGCACAGACTTCAACCAAGAGGGATAATGACAACTTCTAGACCCAATGAAACTGTTTCTATCAGTTTTTTTGAAGAAGGTAGAGGTGACTAACCTGTCACCTTCCACTCTAATCTTTAAATAAAAAAAGTAAATGTATTTCCTCCCTGCTGTACTCATGTTGGAGAACAATTCCCCTGTCATTTCTATTGAGAGTGGAAACAAATTCATCTATAGTATCCATTTCCCCCTCCCATATAAAGAAGACATTGTCGATGTATTTTTTTCCAGAGTACTAGCTGTGGGTGGCTCTGTCCATGAATTACCTCTTTTTCCCATTTGACCATAAAGAGATTGGCCATACTGGGAGCAAATTTTGCTCCCATGGCCACTCCTCTACTTTGCAAATAATAAGTGTCTTCAAACCAAAAAAAATTGTGCCCCTTAGTAAAGTCTAACAGGGAGAGAATAAAATCCATCTGAGGGTTAGGTAATGAACCATCATGCATCAGGAAATATTCCACTGCCAGCCTGCCGTGAAGATGGGAAATGATGGTATACAGAGAGGCAACGTCAGCCATTGCCAAAACGTATCACTGGTTCCACTCGGTATCCCCAAGAATATTAATGATATGAGTAGTATTCTTTAGGAAGGATAGTGTACCCACAACTAGGGACTGGCGAAAATGATCTATATATTTCCCTACTCTTGATGTTACTGAGTCAATCCCACTGATAATGGGCCTCCCCGGGGGGTTAATAGGATCCTTGTGGACGTTTGGTAAATAATAAATCACAGGTACACAAGGTGCTATGGGATCCAAAAAAGATCTCTCCTTATTTATAATACCATGTTTATACCCTCCTTCAACCAAATCCAATAATTATTTCCTGTATTTATTAGTGGGGTTACTGTTTAGAAGGGCATACGTATCTCTGTCTGCTAATAAACGACTCATCTCAGATCGATAGGCCTCACGATCCAATATAATGATTCCACTCCCCTTATCCGCTGGACGAACTGCAATGTCGTTCCGATGCTTAAGGGCTTCCATACCCAACTGGAATCTGGAAACCTGTCTGTCTTTTGACTGAAAGCTCCTCCAGATCCTTGAGGACCAAGTCCTTAAAAACAGAGGCCGAAAGAGCCACATGCCCAGGTGGGTTAAATAAAGATGCATTGGCCAAGGAAGTTTGCTTATAGTTAAGTCTTCCCTGATTCATATTGCCACTATTCCTAGTGGGATTACTGATAAGATACCGCTTAATGTTGATTTTCCTAATAAATTTATGTACATTCATGAACGTCTCAAATTTGTTAAGCCTATTAGGTGGGGCAAACTATATCTTTCATTCCTGCCTTCTTTTTTGAGTCGATCCTCCTCCCCTCTCTGGTGCCTCTTTTTGTTCTATAACCTTTTTTGTGTTTGGGTTGGCCTTGGGGAAAAAAATGGGGGTTGTTAGTAGGTCTCCATGGACCCTCATTCTCATCAGCATAATCACTATTGTATATTTGATCATTTGAGTGTCCTACATGGTCATGTTCCCATTGCGGTCTAAATGTACTAGGAGTAGCTGGAAAGTTATTCCCAGACCCATAATGATTTTGTGCATGGGGATGTTCAGTAATATATCTATTTTATCCCCAGTTATCTCACATATGTTCCTCCTGCAGTGGTATAAATTGATTGTAGGTTTTATACCTTCTTCTTCCCCTAAAATCAGAGTGGGCCCTAAAACTACTAAAACTAGGAGCATGTTTGGGAGAGTATATATTTAGAGTTCTTTCATTGACTTTGAGAGGAACCTGACCTGTCAAATAATTCAAGCGAGGTCCCCCAGGGGTCACCCTACTCTGATAATACCTTCTGTCAACACATTGTTGACAGCAGGTTCTTCCTTTGATTGCCATTTAAACACTCTATTACCCTTATAATTTTCTATATCCATCTAGTTCAGCCTGAGTGCTTTCCTTTTGGGAACACATCATTTGATTCCAGTTAATAGTATACACTGAAAACTTTGAATTATGGCCAAAGTTATTTTGACAATACTTCTCTTTTGGGTCACTTTGGCAATACTTCTCTTGGGTTCACTTACTTTTGCACTCCTGTGACCCAGAATCAGCCTACAGTAGGCTAAAGCCCCTTGACATCGCAGAGCCACTCCAGGTTCTGGAAGAATTCCAATCATATTGTCAGGATCCACCCAGCTGGGTCTGGGTCTCCGTGAACAGCTCAGAGCCGAAGCCACCTGTGCCTGCCCCCTTTTCTGCTAAGTGCTCCTGAGGCAGAGTGGAGACAGCCTGACAGTCACCCCTCTCTGCTCAGAGCTGACTGTGAACTGTGAGCAATCAGCAGTTATGTGATCGCTCGTTTCTCAGGCTTAGAGCAGTGGAACAGTTGGAGCATCAGACCACGCAACATAGAGGTATGTATGTTTATTTTTTTTTTTTTTTTATAATGTTATACTTCTCCTTTAAATATTGTGTAATTTTTTTTTCTCCCATCAACCAGATTCCAGTTATTGACATGTGTATGTTATGTGACATGGTGTTCAGGCATCTAGTTGTTATGAATTTCAGCAGGGTTCTTTTTTTTATTTTTTTTTATTTTTTTTTTATAATTATGCCTCATTTTATTTTACTATGGTAACATAGTAAACATCACATATGCACAGTTTGATGGTTCATTGTTTTCTTTTCTCTCCTAGTGAAGAGGAAGCTAAATTTGGTGCTAGGCGGTTGGCTCGTTCCTTGCAAAAACTTGGCTTTTTGGTACAGTATTAGTTTGCTCTGTTTATGCATATATATAACTATTATGAATTGTGTTTTGTCCCATGCAACAAATGTGTATATGCTGTAGGCTATAACAGGTCTCGACATTTCCATTCGCCTGCTCGCATTTGGCTAGTGGAAATAACGTGGGGGCGAGGGCCAGATCAATCAGACAGCCGATAGATATGGAGCGGAGTGCCGGCACCAGGGGCGGACTAAGCTTTTAGGCATTCAGGCACTCACACACTACCCAAGGGCCCAGGATCCTTAGGAGGTCCTATGACAGGCACCTGAAAGGATGGGGAGGGCAGCAGGGTGGATTGTGCAAATGTGCTCCGAGTCCGGTCCGGTGAGAGGAGAGAATGACTGACAGAGCATGAGGAGGAGGACACTTTATTTAAGGGGGTATATATTTATTTTTGTAACTCTAATCTTCATAAAACATTTAACAGTGTCATTTAATGAGAGAGTTTACAAGGGTGTGTTTAGGGGAGGGATTAGGGGTGTTACAGGGTAAAAGTTGGGTGGGGCAACAGGTGGCAAGTAACTCCTAAGTTGGCTAGTAGCTCAGAACCTGAAATTTTTAGCCCTAGGCTAGAACAATGATAAATCTCATCTATGCAGTACACAACTATGTGCATACAGCAATAAACATTAAGACAGCTGTATCCCTCCTGAAAATGCTAGCACCCATACTCTTATGCCAGTCCAGGGGTTTTAGTACAATTGAAATTATGGATCAGTACATTTTGAAAAAACGGGTATGCAGATAAGGTTTGACTTCACTGGATGCCTTCTACTAGAACTGTGACATAAAATTAAAGGCAGAGACAGACATGCAGTTTGCTTGTTCAGGAAATCTAAAAATGGCCCCTTTAAAATAATGTATGTCTCATGAAGGTAAATGAAGCAGTGATGTCATCAGTTACAGCATGAAAATAAAGCTGTTGGGCAGTTATATATATATATGCTTGCTCAAAGTGGATCTTCTACTTCAATGCCAAGCAAACTTGGAAAATGCTTTTTCAATAGTGGTTTTGGCAAAACGGTTAATCATGTATGAATGAAATATGTAGGCATTTAAATGTTTTTTTTGTTTTTTTTTTCTTGAGGAGGTAGCCTTAATAAGAGTGAAGCTCTGGGGATATCTTGTCTAAATGCTTTGGAACCCTTGAAGGTTAACTCAACTTTCGTGTGGGGAAAAAAAAAATGGCAAATTAAAAAAAAATAGTATAACATATACAATTGCTACACAAATCATATTGTAATTGGATGTTATTAAAAATTACCTTTCCTTTTCAATCTGCAGCACTGTGATTTTCTGTAAAATGCAATATAATATGGCTACCTGGAGGCATTCTGTACACGAATGGCGTACAGATCGCCCCTTGAAAATGTAATTTCCTGCTTGTGCAGTTGGCTTACTGCTTTTCCCAGAAGTCTGTACAGAGATAAAAGTCAAATTTTGAGCATCCCCTGTAGCAAAAATTTAGTTTTTGATGATATACCCTCAAATGGAAATCACATCTAAATGGATGCAGACCCTACCAATGTCCTCAGAGCCCTGCTGGTGCAGCAATTGATTGGTAATTAAAAAGCCACCTGCATACAGATTCACTCTGCACATTGACACAGACAAACAAATCGCTGTTTCTTCAAAATAACAAAAGGTAGGAATCCAAAAAAGTTTGTTACAATCCCTATAATGTACATTGATCACTTAGAGGGGAATGTTTTTCTTTCTCAACAAAAGTGGAGTTACACTTTAAAGGTTAAACACTGGAATGAAGTAATGTTGACTTGGAACTGGGAATAATATTATCCAGCATTGGTATCTAAAGTATAACTTAAGGCAAAACGTTTTTTTTTTTTAGTTTTCGATAGAGTGGAGATGGATTAGAACACTTATTAGGTTTTTATTGATGTCTGTGCCCCCATTAGGGATATTGCCCCTCTCTATTTGTCCTGTTTATCATTATTATTGAAAGTAAAAGAAAATCTGAAATTTTGGGTTGTCCCCAGAAAAGTAATAAAGAGGAAATCTTCCAATGGGGACATGAATTCTGGTGACCTGGGGGTGCCTAAGGAATTCCCTTAACCACTTGCCCTCAAGAGGATTTACCCCCCTTCCTGGCCAGGCGCTGCATTATTTAACTGACAATTGCGCAACACTGCACCCAAATTAAATTTTATGTCCTTTTTTTCCCCACAAATGGAGTTTTTTTTGGTGGTATTTGATCACCTCTGCATTTATTATTTTTTTGCGCTATAAGCAAAAAAAGATGGACAATTTTGAGAAAAAAAAAACAATATTTTTTTACTTATTTTCTTTTGTATTGCAGAGCAATACAAAGCACTGTGCTGGAGCTGACAGGGGAGATATCTGTATTGTTTGCATACAGACCTCTGCCCCATCAGTGATACTCGGTGATCGCCAGGGTGCCGCCGTGGAATTACCAGCCAGGACCCAGTGATCGACAGCTAAAGCCACCAATGGCAGCGTGGGGGCGTGCCCCCTACCCGAAGGTGCAAATCGCGTATATACATGTGATTTTGCGCAGCCCTGCAGCAGTATGTCTGCCATAGGGTGGCGGGTAAGCGGTTAATTTGCAGAGATTTCCTCTCACTTCCTTTTTGGCTATGGGACAGGAAGTGAAGGTAAATCTCCACAATGGGACACAGATGGTGAAAAAAAAAATCTTGACAGGGTTATAACCCTCCCTTGATCTATCCAAAATGAAAAAAAAATTGCCTATAGTTCTACTTTAATCTGTATCCGTGATAAAGCAGATTAATTAAATGTAACTTTTTCCCCAGGATTGCAGTTTTTAAAGAATAGTTGCCCTCTTGTGTACCTGCTGCCTAATGGCTCCCCCTCACCCTCCTGAGCAGCATTGTCTATAACAGTACTAGTCCCCAATCAGCCGATCTCTAGCTGTGGGTTAAAATAGGGAGACGGGCTGCTTCTCTGGTCATTGGTATAAAAAAAAAAGTCAGGGAAAACTCTAACAGGGTCACTGAAAGCAGTAAAAGAGTGAGGTGGGATTAGAACATCTGCCAGTTTTTTGTTTTTTTTTATTGTTTGTCCTGTCACTTTTGAGTAGATTCCCTAATTTTCTATGCTGTTACATAGACAGTAAGTGAGATGAAATATCTCCAGCAAGGTGCACACAGCAATAAAAACCTGACAACTTCTTATGGATCCTGAAAAAAAAGTTTTCCCTGGAGTTGGGTTTTAAAGTACACCTGTTGTATCAGCTATGTAAAAGCAAGCACCCTGAGGCTCCATTCACATTAGTGCGTCTTCATAATGACACAATTTCCAAAGAGACTTTGATGTGACCTGTGGTGCGATTATGATCTGACTACATTCACTGGACTAAAGTCACATCAAAAGTTGTACCAAAGTAGTTCAAGAACTGCTCTCAATTCACTGTGACTTGAGGTCGCACAGATTTGAATGGTACTCATTGGGTAACATGAAGTGTGACTTGTCATGCAACTTTAGACCCCAAAGTCGCACAAGTGTGAATGGACTCTAAGGGAGCAGTATATGCCTCATTTACCTCTGTTAGTTGGGTATTCCTGCAGAATGTGTTCCAGGAGTTCAAATCCATATGCAAGTATGAAAGTCAAAGCTTAGGTTAGGGCTACACTGCTGATTAAAGCTCATTGAGAAATTTGGCTACTCTTTGGTAACCTAATTTGTAACACCTGGAAATATGGTTCTGATGAAATAATGTTCAACGTGTGTTAACCCTCTTGCTGCTGGAGCCTTATCAAATCCTATATTTTCAGTAAAAAAAAAAATATAATTTTAGTTCATGCAGTCACAATATACATCTTGATTTTTGGTAACATGTAGAAAAATTAGGTTGTGCTGAGTAAATAGATACCAAATACGCTATATTGCCAAAAGTATTGGGAAGCCTGCCTTTACACGCACATGAACTTTAATGGCATCCCAGTCTTAGTTCGTAGGGATCAATATTTTGTTGGCTCACCCTTTGCAACTATAACAGTTTCAACTCTTCTGGGAAGGCCGTCCACAAGGTTTAGGAGTGTGTCTATGGGAATGTGTGACTATTCTTCCAGAAGCACATTTGTGAGGTCAGGCACTGATGTCAGACGAGAAGGCCTGGCTCACAGTCTCTGCTCTAATTCATCCCAAAGGTGTTCTATCAGGTTGAGGTCAAGCCCAGCTAAATTTTGAAAAAAGACATCTAAAGTCTCCCAAAAGCATGTGGGAAAATGTGTTATGGTCTGATGAAACCAAGGTTGAACTTTTTGGCCATAATTCCAAAAGATATGTTTGGTGCAAAGACACTGCACATCACCAAAAGAACACCATATCCACGGTGAAGCATGGTGATGGCAGCATCATGCTTTGGGGCTGTTTTTCTTCAGCTAGAATTGTGGCCTTAGTCAAGGTAGAGGGGATTATGAACAGCTCCAAATACCAGTTACTATTGGCACAAAACCTTCAGGCTTCCAGCCAGAGCCCAGACCTGAATCCGATCGAAAATCTGTGGCGTGATCTGAGGGCTGTGCACAGGAGATGCCCTCGCAATCTGACAGATTTGGAATGTTTTTGCAAGGAAGAATGGGCAAATATTGCCAAGTCAAGATGTGCCATGCTGATAGACTGAGTGCTGTAATAAAATCAAAAGGTGCTTCAACAAAGTATTAGTTTAAGGGTGTGCACACTTATGCAGCCATATTTTAGTTTTTTATTTTTACTTCCCTCCACCTAAAATATTTCAGTTTGTTGTTTAACTGAGTTTATAGGTTACATTAAAGGTGGAAAAAGTTCTGAAATTATTTCTTTGTCCCATTTTTTTTTTACATCGCAGAAATCTGACATTTTATCAGGGGTGTGTAGACTTTTTATATCCATTGTACTTGGCCACTGAATCACTTTCACCCTGTTCTTCTTCAGAAGTGCAGCATTGGCCTTTAGATGTATGTTTTGGATCATTGTCATTTTGGAAAAGTGCACGACAACCAAGAGCACGGCGTAATGGTAGCAACTTCTCTTTCAATATAGAGCAGTACATCTGTGAATTCATGATACCATCAATGAACTGCAGCTCCCCGACAATAGCAGCACTCATGCAGCCCCACAGAAGGACACTGTCACCACCATTTTTCACTGTAGGCACAATGTATTTTTCTTTTTACTCCTCACCTTTGTGACACCATACAGCTTTGAAGCCATCAGTTCCAAAAACATTTATTTTGGTCTTATCACTTCAGAGTACAGAGTCCCAGTAGTCGTCTTTTTTTTCAACATGGCCCTGGAAAATTCTAGGTGGGCTTTTTTGTGTATGAGCTTTAGGAGAGGCTTCCTTCATGGACAACACCCATGCATGCCATTCCTCTGCAGTGTACGCTGTATTTTGTTATGGGAAACAATCACCCCAGTTTGGCTTTCTACTTCTTTAACTAACTGCAGTGAACTTGCATGGCGATTTGCTTCAACCCTTCTCATCAGAAGATGCTCCTGACGAGGTGTTATCTTCCATGGACGGCCTGGACATCTCTGTGAGATGGTTGCAGTTCTATCTTTTGGATACATTTTGCTACAGTAAGCTTTGCTGATCTTGTAGCCTTCCTCTTTCTTATGTAAAGAAATTATTTTCTTTCTCGGGCCTTGTGACATTTCTCTTCTATGTGGTGCCTTTGTTGACATCATGAAATGGGAAGGGGTTTTCTTTAAGTAACACCCTTTTATAAGCAACTATCTGCTGGACACCTGTTTAACCGCTTCCCGTCCACCCTATAGCAGATCTACTGCTACAGGACAACATGGGTGCACAAAATCACGTGTGTGTGATTTTGCACTCCCAGGTAGGGGGCGCACGTGTGCCCTACCCACGCTGCAATGTGCGGCCACGGCTGTCAATGACCGGGTCCCAGCCATTGACTACTCACCGGAGCCCGGTTATTTCCGACGGGGAGGAGACGCTTTTGTTTACTAACAAGCTAGCTTTGGATGGCTGTGTGCTTACAGTGAAGCACATTGACACAGCCCCCTAGTAAAACACCCTCAGCACACAGTTAACCCTTTGATCTCCCCTCATGTTAACCCCTTCCTGCCCAGTGCCATTAGTACAGTGCCAGTGCTTTTTTTTTTTTTTTTTTTTTTTTTTTTTTTTATTATTTTTTTTTTTTTTTTTTTCTATTAGTCATGGCGGCTGATCGCCGCCATGACTAATAGACAAAAATAAATTCCAGTATCTATACCGCCATTTGTAAACGCTAAAACTTTCACGTAAACCATTTAATTTACACGTATTGGGATTTTTTTTTTTAAATTTACTGGACATGTTTAATAGCAAAAAGTAAAAAATATAGTTTTTTTTTTTTCTCAAAAAAACTCATAGGCAATCAAATACCACCGAAAGAAAGCTCAATTCGTGGGGAAAAAAAAGGTCATAAATTTCATTTGGGTCAAGCGTTGCATGACCGCAATTGTCAGTTAAAGCAAAAATTAGCCTGGTCAGGAAGGGGGTAAAGCCTCAGGAGGACAAGAGGTTAATGAATAAATAGACTCACCTGTAGTTGAATTCTTGTAAATTAGGATTTTGTTGTCTAAAATTTCTTCTAAGACTTTCATTGGGGTGTATTCAATTTTGCAACATAGTATTGAATGAATTTGTTAGGAAAAATATTGTGTGCAAATTAACAAATCTTGTTTGCAATCAATGATCGGCATTTGTGGAACTGTTTTGTAATATAGTGTCCCATAGAAAATGTTGATTTTGAAAGGAAGGTAAAGGGGTAGAGCAGAGAGCCGGAGACTGATTGTCACAGCTCTCTGCTCAGAGTGGAGGTGAGAACTGAGCAATCAGCAGTGTTTAATCACTCAGTTCTCACTGCAGAGCTGGTGAGGAACAGATGCTGCATTCACCGAAGTAAGTATAAATTTTTTTGTTTTGTTTTTTTTTTTGTTAAGCCCATACTTCTCTTTTAAACACATCTGCTGGATCACAGAATGCATTGGAATACGGGCACCAATTAGAAGTGCCTTTGTTGCAGTGGGGTGTAAACCAGGATATTTGGGGAGGATTTCAGATGTACACCTAGTGTGCATGAAAAAGTATTTTCAGCTTATAAAGGCACCTTTTATTACGCGACTTCATAACACATCTTTATTATTAAGAGAATAGGAACATTGCTTATAGTATTAGCTGCCTTCACATATATGTGCACACATGCTTTAATAATGAATGTTGCTTCTTTGACTGTATCTTTGTTTTTTGTATAACAGGTAAAATTTACAGAATTTAAAGTTGTCAATGTGCTGGCAGTGTGTAATATGCCATTTGAAATAAGACTCCCAGAATTTACTAAGAAAAACCGCCCCAATGCAAGGTAGGTGTGTTTCATTTCTTATATATCACCTCACTCACTCGGATGCTACGTTTATGCTAAATATTGTGTTTTTATGCAGTTATGAACCTGAACTTCACCCTGCAGTTTGCTATAGAATAAAGACTTTAAGAACAACACTACAGATTTTCTCAACTGGAAGTATTACAGTAACAGGTAACATTTGTATGACACTTTTCACATATTCTTTTGTACGCTTAATACAGTTGTGAACCAAAAGGAGTATTCAAGAATGTGGTCCTAGTGCCTGTACTATAGCAAACTCAGGTGAAAAAATGGCAGCTCTGTGCTGGTGAGCTTTTTCTTCAGTATGCATTTCAGGTTTCTCTGTCTATTGGCTATGCGCAATTGCGTTCATTTTCTTGGCACTGTCAAATGTGATTGCGCTGTGTACTTTTACAAACTGGATCTCATTTTGGATTAATTCCTGGCTGCCTCTGATTTATCTGAATGGAATTTAAAGGATTACTATACTTTGTCACAGTTATCCTTTTAACCCTTTTGCTGCCAGGCCCTGCACTCCACTTTTTAAACTCAGGTGGCCGGACCATTTTTGCAATTTTTCCATTGTTTTTTTATTTCTCCCTTACAACTTTCAGCATTTGTAAAAGACCCCGTAAACCATATAATTTTCTGAAAGCACATGACACGTACTGCTACTGATTTTTAGGGCCCCATCATACTAGCGCAAATGTTTACCAGACCAATATTTTCACCAAAAATACACTAATTATTAGCAGATAAAAACACAGCAAGCAGATTTTCCAAGATTCCTACTAAATATAAAAGCTTAGCCTGTGCTCAGCTAATAAATAACATAATTTTTTTTTAAATTGTAAATTGCGCTTTTTTGCGAAATCACGAAAATTGAACTACGCAAAACTGTATCATGTTTTGTCCAAAAATCTAAAGGTTTTCGTTTTCCACTTACAGCTTTTAGAGTTTGTAAAAGACCCCCCAAACCATATACAGTGGGGATAGAAAAGAATCGCCCCCCTTTTTAAAATCACATTTGTTGCTTTGCAGGCTGAAATGAAGACAAACACAGTTTTTTCTTTTCCACTTGTATTTTATTATTATTATTATTATACAGGATTTATATAGCGCCAACAGTTTGCTCAGCACTTTACAATATAACGGGAGACAATACAGCAATAATACAGTTCAATACAAGAGGGTTAGGAGGGTGAGCTCCTTGGAGCTTACAATCTAAGAGAATTTACTGGAAAAGAACATCCAAGTGAAATATATAACACCCACATGTCAGGAAAAAAAAATGTTAAAAACAGAATCACTGAGTTGGATAAAGGATCACCCCCTTGTGTCGGTATTTTGTTGAACCACCTTCTGCTCTTAATTCCGGCCTTTAGTCTGTTAGGATATGTCTCTACTAACTTTGCACATCTAGACTTTTATTTATATATAATATTTGCCCACTTTTCTGTGCAGAAAATCTACAGAATTTCCAATGGGATTTAAGTCTTGGCTCTGACTAGGCCTTGCAAGGACATTCACCTTTTTCTCCTTCAACCACTCTGTGGTCATTTTTGCTGTGTGCTTTGGGTCATTGTCATGTTGGAATTTAAACGTTCTTTCCATTCATAGCTTCCTGACAGAGGTCAGAAGATTTTGACGGTATTTTGCCCCATCCACTTTACCGTCTATCCTGACAAGTGCTCCAGTCCCTGCTGCATGCAGAGAAATACCCCCATAACAGGATATTACCACCTCCATGCTTTACTCTAGGAATGGTATTATTTGGATGGTTAACTGTATTGGATTTCTGCCAAACATATATCATTTAGTGTTGAGTCCAAATAATTCAATTTTAGTCTCATCTGACCATAACAGCTTTTCTCATGTGGCCTCACAATCTTCAAGGTGCTTTTGGCAAAGTTCAGTTGTGTCTGCATGTATTCTTTCTTGAGGAGTGGCTGTTTTCTTACAAGCCACATTTGTGGAGAATTTGTGATATTGTTGTCACATGCACACAATGACCACTCTATCACAAATTCCTGCAACTGCTTCAGAGTTGGAGTAAGCCTCTTGGTAGTCTGTCTGACCAGTTTCCTTGTGGCTCTTCTATCCAGTTCGGAGTGACATCCTGATCCAGGGAGGGTCTGTGTTGTACCAAATACCTTCCACTTCTTAATACAGTTGCAAGAAAAAGTATGTGAACCCCTTGGGATTACGTGGCGTTTTGCATGAATTGGGCATAAAATGTGCTCTGAACGTCATCTAAGTCACAACAATAGAAGAACACAGTCTGCTAAACATAATATTACACAAACATTAGATGTTGCCATGGTTTAATTGCACATAACATGAAACATTCACAGTGCAGGGAGGAAAAAGTATGTGAGGCCCTAGCTTAATGACTTCTCCCAGAGCTAATTGGAGCCAGGAGTGAGCCAACCTTGACTCCAATCAGTGTGATGATATTGGATGTGTTGCTGACAGCTGTCCTGCCCTTAAAAAACACACACCTGTTTTGGGTTTACTGGTTTCAAGAAGCACTGTCTGATGTGAACCATGCCTCGCAGAAAAGAGCTCTCAGAAGACCTACGATCAAGAATTGTTGACTTGCATGAAGCTGGAAAGGGTTACAAAAGTATCTCCAAAAGCCTTGATGTTCATGTGTCCACGGTAAGACAGACTGTCTACAAATGGAGAAAGTTTAGCACTGTTGCTACTCTCCCTAGGCATGGTCGTCCTGTCAAAATGACTGGAAGAGCACAGCGCCGAATGCTGCATGAGGTAAAGCAGAATCCCAGAGTGTCAGCTAAAGACCTACAGAAATTTCTGGCACATGCTAACAATAAGGAAAACATTAAACAAGAATGGAGTACATGGGAGGACACCACGGAGGAAGCCATTGCTGTCCAAAAAGAATATTGCAGCACGTTTGAAGTTTGCAAAAGAGCACCTGGATCTTCCACAGCACTACTGGCAAAATATACTGTGGACAGATGAAACCAAGATTGAGTTGTTTGGGAAGAACACACAACACTATGTGTGGAGAAAAAAAGGCACAGCACACCAACATCAAAACCTCATCCCCACTGTAAAACATGGCGGAGGGAGCATCATGGTTTGGGGCTGCTTTGCTGCCTCAGGGCCTGGACGGATTGTTGTGATTGATGGGAAAATGAATTCCAGAGTTTATCAAGACATTTTGCAGGAAAACGTACGACCATCTGTCCGCCAACTGAAGCTCTGCAGAGGATGGGTGATGCAACAGGACAATGACCCAAAGCATACAAGTAATTCAACAAAACAATGGCTGCAACAGCACAGAATACGCCTTCTGGAGTGGCCCAGTCAGAGTCCTGACCTCAACCCGATTGAAATGCTGTGGCATGACCTTAAGAGAGCGATTCACACCAGACATCCCAAGAATATTGCTACACTGAAACAGTTTTGTGAAGAGGAGTGGTCCAAAATTACTCCAGATCGTTGTGCAGGTCTGATCTGCAACTACAGGAAATGTTTGGTTGAGGTTATTGCTGCCAAAGTAGGGTCAACCAGTTATTAAGTCCAAAGGTTCACATACTTTTTCCTCCCTGCACTGTGAATGTTTACATGTTATGTGCAATTAAACCATGGCAACATGTAATGTTTGTGTAGTATTATGTTCAGCAGACTGTGTTCTTCTATTGTTGTGACTTAGATGACGTTCAGAGCACATTTTATGCCCAATTCATGCAAAACTCCACGTAATCCCAAGGGGTTCACATACTTTTTCTTGCAACTGTAATAGACTTCACTGTGCTTCTAGGCATTGATTTAATTTTTTTTGCATCCAAATTTTATCCTGGAGATGCTACAGGAAAGCTCTTTTCATGCTGAGCTAATCGAAATGTCCACAGCTGATCAGTTAAGTCAAATGGCCTTGTGTTCCATTGAGAAGATGATTAGCTACACCTGATTTAGTTTGCGAGTCATTTTTAGGAGGGGGTGGTCCTTTTTTTCAACTCGGTGATTCTGTTTTTGAATTTTTTTTTCCCTGACATGTTGGTGTTATATCTTTCACTTGGGTGTTATTCGTTGCACTGAAAAAATACAGCTGGAGAAAACAAAAACTGTGTCTATCTTCATTTCAGGCTACAAAGCAACAAAATGTGATTATTTGAAAAGGGGGTGATTCTTTTCTATACCCACTGTATTTTCTGAAAGCTTAGGACCAGTAGAATACAAAGAAGGTGCTACAGAGTTTTAAGGTGCTGCCATATTTGTGCAGGTGTTTATCAAATCTGCTATTTTTACTAAAAACCACTAAAATCCTTATTTGCACACATAAACACAGCATGACTTACAAAATTCCTCCTAAATTCCAACTAAGGCCTCGTTCACATGGGTTGTACTAAAGCGTACACCCATGGAGGGCCATGTTTACCTGCATCATGGGGATTCACAGGTGTTCTGCGCAGGCAGTCCTATCATGTCAGTTGGGATGCAGCGGCTGCAAGGACAGATCTGACACTGTCCCTCATGCAGTGTGAGCACCTCAAATGCCTTGCAACTGCGTTCAATGCAGCACATTTGTCAGCAAAAATGTAGTTTAAAACAGTTGGAGAGAAGGCATCAACTTGCCTTGGGGGGAGGGGGAATTAAGCGAGCAGGGGTTACAGCGGCAGGTAGGGTCTGCAATTACTGGCAGGAAAGGCAGAGGAGGGAAGCAGAGGATTGCAAAGGGTGAGAGGAAGAGAAGGATCGACAGGTCTCCCTGATTCCTCTTCACAGTCATTTCCCTCTTTTTCTACTTGCTATAGTCACCTCTGAGGTGGAGAAGCAGGGAATGAGATAAATTAAACAAATGGCCAGTGAGTTGCTTACATGACTCTTATTAAACTAGCCGCTTATATTGGAATCAATGGCAGCTTCTCACTGAGCTGCAGTGAGAAGTGGGAAAACATCATCTACACTCCTCGTTGCAACTTTTTAAAACCGCTGCACTCTGCTTACTAAACATACAACATAGAGTTGAACATATAATCAGAAATAATGGCACTGTTCCCTTTACACTATTAGCAGGGAGGTGCATCAATGGATGATAGAGGGCATAAAATGGTAAGAGACTTTTTAAACAAAAAAAAAAAAGCCAGCTATGGTATACTTGATATTTTAGAATGTGTGTGTGTTTTTTTTTTTTTACTTTGTTTACATCAATCAATTTCAGATATGACAAAATTTCAGGACAATTGTCAGGCTGAGGAATGCACTGTTGCTTAATGAGCTTATGTGAATACCACTATGCAATGCGGTGCTTGTTGGATTTCTCCCTTAAGTCAAATGTATGTAGGACTGGTACTACGCAACAAAGTCCTGAAGAAAAATGGCAACTTCATTACAAGAACAAGGGAGCAAAGTGGGACAGTGTTTGTGGGGCCAGTGTAGGTGCAATGCAAATGGAAACAGTTTCTAAACTTTATTACTATAAATGTAAAAGGTTATTTTGCATGGTTATCAGATTTTGAATTGTTTTAGAAATGTAGCATTTTATAGTGTTTCTCTTTTGGTTGGGGGTGCAACATTACTCAGGGAATGCATTTCTTTGTAGACTGGTGCATATTTGGCAAGCAGTATTCATATCATTCCTTAATTATGAGCAGTGATCAAGCTTCTTCATATCAATTCTCACTCATGAGTATCATTCCCCAGGATCCGTGTTCATGCCATTGCTTACCCATGGGCATGGATATCTCTTCCTACTATTCCTCATTAATGAGCAAGGATCATTCTTCATACCATTGCTTATTCATGAGCAAGAAGCCATCTTCTTCATACTATTCCTTACTTATAAGTAAGGATCATTCTTCATACCATTCCTCACTCATGAGCCAAGGATTAGTCTTCATAGCATCCATACTTGTGGGCAAGGATCTGTCTTCATATCATTTTTCACTCATGAACAAGAATCAGTCTAATTTCAAAGAGATCAGTCTATACAGTGAGGAACAGAAGTATTTGAACACCCTGCGATTTTGCAAGTTCTCCCACTTAGAAATCATGGAGGGGTCTGAAATTCACATTGTAGGTGCATTCCCACTCCGAGAGACAGAATTAACAAGAAAAAAATTCAGGAAATCAAATTGTATGATTTTTTTAAAGAATTTATTTGTCTTGCACTGCTGAACATAAGTATTTGAACACCTAAGAAACAGCAAGAATTCTTGCTCTCAAAGACCTGTTACTGTGCCTTTAAAAAGTCCACCTCTACTCCACTCATTAATCTAACTTAGTAGCACCTGTCTGAGCTCTTTAAAGACACCTGTCCACCCTACAGTCAGTCAGACACCAACTACTACCATGGGCAAGACCAAAGAGCTGTCAAAAGACACCAGAGACAAAATTGTGGACCTCCACAAGGCTGGAAAGGGCTACGGGGCAATCGCCAAGCAGCTTGGTGAAAATAGATCAACTGTTGGAGCAATTGTTAGAAAATGGAAGCAGCTAAAGACAACTGTCAGTCTCCCTCGGACTGGGGCTCCATGCAAGATCTCACCCCGTGGGGTATCACTGATAAGAAAGGTGAGGAATTGGCCCAGAACTACAAGGGAGGAGCTGGTCAATGACATGAAGAGAGCTGGGACCACAGTTTCATAGGTCACTGTCGGTAGAACACTACGCCGTCATGGTTTTAAATCATGCATTGCACGGAAGGTTCCCCTGCTCAAGTCATCACATGTCCAGGCCCGTCTGAAGTTTGCCAATGACCATCTGGATGATCCAGAGGAGGCATGGGAGAAAGTCATGTGGTCAGATGAGACCAAAGTAGAACTTTTTGGGCTAAACTTCACTTGTCGTGTTTGGAGGAAAAAGGATGAGTTGCATCCCAAGAACACCATCCCTACTGTGAAGCATGGGGGTGATAACATCATGCTTTGGGGGTGCTTTTCTGCGAAGGGGACAGGACGACTGCACTGTATTAAGGAGAGAATGAATGGGGCCATTTATTGTGAGATTTTGAGCAACAACCTCCTTTCCTCAGTCAGAGCATTGAAGATGGGTCGTGGCTGAGTCTTCCAACATGACAACGACCCCAAACACACAGCCAGGATAACCAAGGAGTGGCTCCGTAAGAAGCATATCAAGGTTCTGGAGTGGCATAGCCAGTCTCCAGACCTAAATCCAATAGAACATCTTTGGAGGGAGCTGAAACTCCGTGTTGCTCAGCGACAGCCCCGAAATCTGACAGATCTAGAGGAGATCTGTATGGAGGAGTGGGCCAAAATCACTGTTGCAGTGTGTGCAAACCTGGTCAAGAACTACAGGAAACGTTTGACCTTTGTAATTGCAAACAAAGGCTTCTGTACCAAATATTAACACTGATTTTCTCAGGTGTTCAAATACTTATGTTCAGCAGTGCAAGACAAATAAATTCTTTAAAAATCATACAATGTGATTTCCTGAATTTTTTTTTTTAATTCTGTCTCTTGAGTGGGAATGCACCTACAATGTGAATTTCAGACCCCTCCATGATTTCGAAGTGGGAGAACTTGCAAAATTGCAGGGTGTTCAAATACTTCTGTTCCCCGCTGTGTGTGTGTGTATATATGTATATATATATATATATATATATATATATATAATCACCATTCGTGGCCAAGAATCAGTCTTTATACCAGTTTTCACTCGGCCATCTCAATAGCAGGGGAGAGTTGGTATGACTTCTTGCATCTTTTTATTTTATTTTTCTGAGTAAGCAGTGTTAGGCTCCATTCACACCTGTAAAACTACAAAGTTGTGCGATTTTTCCATTGTGACTTTTATGCAACTTTGGTACAATTCTGATGCAACTTTGGATGGGTGCTACGTGGATGGGACTTTGCCTGTTGCACAGCTGTTGAATTGATAACATTAAGATGCGACTTTTGGGAGTTTATATTGCAGTCTATGGCACTCAACACATGACTGTCTCATCAAAGTAGTGTAGGAACCTTTAAGTTGCATAGACTTGAACAACTTCCATTGAAATACGACTTATCATGGGACTTTGTGTCCAAAGTCGCATGAAAAGTTGCACAAGTGTGAATGGAGCCTTTCTGTGTATGTGCCAGGTAAATAAAATGTTTAAGTACTATGGCATTCTTTGCATAAAAATTGATTATATATTTTTTTTTTATTTTTCTGCAGGTCCAAATGTGAAATCCGTTGCCACTGCTGTGGAGCAAATTTACCCTTTTGTGTTTGAAAGCAGAAAAGAAATTTTGTAAATAACCACTCTGAGGCCCATCCCTTTTAACCACTTCATGGATTGAGGTTTTAAACCCAGGCATCTTTTTAAAAAAAAAAAAAAATTAAAAACGGAAACTTGTAACTTGATCAAAGAAAATTGGACCAATAGAGGGACAACACTTCTTTTTACCCTGTTGTCTGTCGCAGTGTTGCCGCTTTGTGGATTCAGAGACATTTCTGTGTTTTTAGGAAAGGACTGTTTACAAGATGTGGACATGCTGCTTTTAAACATCTGTGCTATTTATTTGTGAAGTAATTCCCATGCATTCATATGGAAAGATCTGTTAAGATGTGCACTAATGCAAATCATTTGTTTGAGCTTGTGGTTTATTTATAGTATTTTACGTTTTTTTTTTGTTTTTGTTTTTTTTTTCCTCCCTTTTTTTTTTTTTTTTTAAATTTTTATTTTATATGGGCACCAAAGAAAATGTAAAAGTTTTCTTCTCACTCATTGAATGTGTTTTTTTTTATAAATGTTTTCTTCTCATAGCACATGTCCTTTTTTTTTTTTTTTTTTTTTTCTCTTTGTGTAAATATTTTTTAATAAAATGAATTTGCATAAAATGTTTATTTTTTCCCTCTTACGTTCATTAACAGACACAGCCTCTCTTCTGTATTCTTGACCAAACAAGGTTTTTTAGCACCCCTACAGGAGTAGGACACTAGGCAGGAAAAAAAAACCTCGCCCCTCCTATGGGCAGTCCTCTTTGGGCATAAAACCCCCTCTCTGTTATTGGCAAACCAGTTTTTTTTCTGCCTAGGGAAAAGTAAGAACTTGGTACCTGTGGTTCCATAGCCATTTTCTTTTTCTTGGGTTTTTTATTCCGGAGGAAATTTTCAATCAACAGCCAGGCTGGGCGACAATGGGCTAGATATTTTAGATCCAGTGATCAACCCAGTCTGGCCAATGAGCGCTCACAGCTAATCGCTGGGCAGCCGCAACATGCCCACCCTGGGCCAGCCAGCAAGAGAAACTCCTCATGGGGACACATATGACCAGGTGCCTGCAGTCAGTGTCCAAGTGTTACCCTGGTCAACAGTCCCCCACACTTCGGTGGAGAGGAGGATCTATCATGGGAGCCTTACCTGCACACACCGCTGGATCGGTAAGTAGATGCCCACTCTTCAGATGCAGTGTGCCGTGCGGGTACTTCCTGGGGTGGTCAGTTCTGCACTGTCCACTCCTCCCCTCCAAACCATGTGATGGTCTTCCTCACTTGCTAACCCCACCCCCTTCCCTCCCCGGGACATGGGGCTCGCTTGAACGGGATGCGTATTATCTCCCTCACTGGGGCCCCTTGATGGGCATCCAATTTCCTGGCGGTCCTGTGGTAACCTGCTGGTGCGGCAGTGGTGCTGTTTACTGCAGCCTTCCCGTCATTGTTTCTGTTGGGTAGATGCCCAGTGGGGGGCGTTTGAGGTGTAGGCTCCGTCCGGTTCCCTAAATGTTGCTATTCTTTGCCATGAGCTGGGGACATTGTTGGCACACCTTTCAAGGCCAGGGTTTCCGCTGGGCCCTCCCGTGGGTGGGTGCACTATTTGGTCTTGCCAGCTGAAAATTTAGGGCGGCAGCTTTGTGGCCTGTGGGGCAGGCTATGGCACCGGCCGTCCTGGATTTGGGCACCTGCCCTTCTCAGCTTTGTCCACCTAGGAAGGTGGTACAGGACACAGGCATAGTCTTAAATAACTGGGCTGTATAAGTGAATTCAGGTGCTTGGACATTGACAAAGCAGAGCTGTTAGAACCTCCATTTACTCCCTCCCACTCCCAGCACTTACCAGTTTTTTTTGTTTCCTTAGGTGATGGATGCCTCCTCTATAGTGAGAGAAGTATTTAACTTTTTCTTTTTGGATTTATTGTGAGCTTTTTTTTTTAATCAAGCTTTATGGCTGTGCTATAGCTACCACAGCTGTCTCCCTTGCAGCTTCTGAATTGGTGCCTCTCAGTTTTGAGCCTCGGTCTGAACCCAAACGCTCTGATAAAGAAGACACAGTGCCTGTTTATAATATCACTTCGGGCATTGAACCTTGTGTGATTCCATCACTTCTGGGTTCTGGTGATGTCACGCCTGGCCGAGCGAGAGTGAGGCTTGGAACGCACATCGGTCATTTTGTGGATTTCAGAGCTGTACATGCTGGTGCTGGCTAACATAGCACCTTTTCATGTGAGTGCATTTCTTGTATGGGTGCTTTTAAACCATTTTAATAAATGCTATGCTTTGAATGGCTTCATCTCTGGTTTATTTGAGTGGCATACATTTTACCAAGAGTAAAGAGAGCCAGTCTTGAAGCATTTGCATACTGTTAGGTTGGCTGGAAATATCAATACCATCCCTCCTGATGATATAACCTGCGGTCTGTTGATGAGTAGAACATCATATGACATCCAGAGGCTGATTCTTGGCTATACCTTTCCAAAAAAGCAGTTTTTGACCACCGTAACGGGTCGAATAGCTCTGGCGAGTGAGCAAATCACTTTTATCCTATGAGCATGTGGTGAAGACATAAGAATTCATGGTTTTGGCACTTTAAGGAAAAGAGACTGTCATCTGTATTGGCCACTAATTTTATTACATGTCCACATTTCTCGAGATTTTATTTTGGGGAAAAATGGCATATGGGTTTGCATATTCTGTTGGTTGATGTACACACATATGCGTTTTGCATTTATATTTCTTTGTTTTTGTTCCTTTTGTCTTTGGTACATTATAGACACTTTAATAAGTGATCACAGCACCTTTCTTTTTATCCATATCAACTGAACCCTGTGTTAGGCGATATTGGTATGTTGAGCTGCAGGGTGCTTTCAGATTCAGGGCAATTACACCAGTGTGACCCAGTCCCTAACGATCACTTTGTGAGGTATGCCTGCCAGAGGAGAACGAAGCCAGGCAGGGTTTGTCCCTGAAATCATGCTCCTGTACACTAGATGATCTGCTTTGATGCATCTGGACTTACTGCTCTTCCCTGGGCACAGTGCTATGTTCCAATTCCCTAGAGTCTAGTGGAGCAGTGGCTGTGATAATATGTCAGTCAATTTGAGTATGTTTGCATTTGGTGCAATTTTCTTTAGTCATGGCTTCCCCAGCATTTGGTAAGTAAGACATACCCCTTCCCCCTATGGATAATAAGCAATATAATATACCCACACATAATAGTTACTGTCCTTTGGACTACGGGTATGATTATGACAGAACCCCTGTAAGAAATGCAGACTCCTATAGAAGGGATTTAATCAGTAGGGGTTTTGGGGATCCCTTGGAAAACCCAATTATTTTTTAGTAAACACAGGAAGGGCAAGGCAAAAGTATGGGGGAAGAAGACGTCGAGGGAGGCATTGGGGACATCCCCAGCCACCTGCAAGAAGAAGAGGGGGTAAGAGACACAGAGGCTGTAGGGGGAGGTCATAGCAAAAAGGAAGCAAAAAACTAGGGCAGGGTATTTTCAATCTTAGTGGTGTAGTTATTTCAGACAATGAATTGAGAGTATTGGATCTGGGACTTAAATATCCCTGATAATTTTGATTAATTCAATGCCTATATTTGTAGCGCCCTCTAGGTAGGTAGGATTTGTTTTTTTAGTTAGAGGCTTGTTAAAAGCCTGGATTAAGTGAGCCTGTGAGTGAGGTAGTGCTTTCACCTCAGGACATGCTCTACAGGTCAGGTCATGGCTTCTGGAGCCCTCACACACTTCCAGTAACTTCTGGCACTTTCTGGAGGAGGGGAGGAGGTCCAGATTTGCATGTTTAAGGGAACATGGCCAATCCCCAGGCAAGAGGCCAGGCATGGTGGCCAAGGACAGCCCCTTAAATTTGACAGAGCCTGTGCAGCAGAGGAGTTGGGTGAAAGATGGACAGAAGGAAGGTGCTAAAGAGTGAAGCTTTGGAGGGGGCCCCAGGGAGAGGAGCCTACCGACAGGCTGGATGCTGGACAGAAGGAATTCCACTTTGCCAAGCCTCCTGGGGAAGGCAGCCTGTCGGTCGGGAAGAAGCCAGTCCACCATAAGGCTTGAAAGCAGCTATCGCCCACCAAGCCGACAGGAAGGATGCCCCATTGTTTGATGGAAATGAAAATTATCAACTTACAGAGGACTGAGTTCAAAGACACCCCGAAAATCAAAGTGAAAAAATGATGCAGCAGGCTAGTCCATTTTGCTGAAATTTTATTGCAGCAACTCAAAATGGTACTCAGTAGCTTGTATAGCCCCCATGTGCTTGTATGCATGTCTGACAATGTCAGGGCATGCTCCTAATGAGATGACGGATGGTGTCCTGGTGTATTTCCTCCCAGATCTGGACCAGGGCATCACCGAGCTCCTGGACAGTCTGAGGTGCAACCTGGCGGCTTCGGATGGACCTCAATATGATATCTCCGAGGTGTTCTATTGGATTTAGGTCAGGTGAGCGAGGGGGCCATTCAATGATACCAATTCCTTCATCCTCCAGGAACTGCCTGCATACTCTCGCCACATGAGGCCAAGTATTGTCGTGCACCAGGAGGAACCCAGGGCCCATTGCACCAGCATAGGGTCTGACAATGGGTCCAAGGATTTAATCTCGATACCTAATAGCAGTTAGGGTGCCATTGTCTAGCCTGTAGAGGTCTGTGCGTCCCTCCATGGATATGCCTTCCCACACCATCACTGACCCACCACCAAAGCGGTCATGGTGAACGATGTTACAGGCAGCATATCATTCTCCACGGCTTCTCCAGACCCTTTCACTTCTGTCACATGTATTCTGGGTGAACCTTCTCTCATCTGTAAAAAGCACAGGGTGTCAATTCTGGTGTTCAATAGCAAAAGCTAATCGAGCTCTATGGTGCCGGGCAGTGAGCACAGGGCCCACTAGAGGACGTCAGGCCACCCTCGTGAAGTCTTTTCTGATTGGTTAAAGACATTCACACCAGTGGCCTGCTGGAGGTCATTTTGTAGGACTCTGGCAGTGATCATCCTGTTCCTCCTTGCACAAAGGAGCAGAT